TATCCAGGAGCCCTTGGCGCCAGCTGGGACCCAGGGAGGTAGTGATTATGAGGTGGTGGCCACAGACTGGGCCTGGGATTTCGGTTTCTGCTAGGGCTGCTTTCCATGGCTTCCAGCATATTCCCATCCAATTCCGTCGTCCTGGAGCTTGATTGTAAAGGGAACCAGCCACAGCTGTTGGTCCAGATCAGCGTTGGCCCTGGCCCTGAAGTCTGACCCAGACTCTTAAGGGCTCAGTTTCCCCATCCATGAAATCAGAGCTGTCTTCCAGGGCTAACCTTGGAGAAACACTGTAAGAGGGCCCGGAGGAAGGGCAGAGTGGGGAGAAGAAGGCCCTAGGGCCCTGTGTCCTTTGCCAGTCTAGTGAAGTTATTAGCTTCAGAGCCAGCTTGACAGCCATCTGACATGAGAAGGACCCCTTCTTTGTTCCTAGAAGAGACCCTCTTCTCAGAGATGGGCAACATCAGACGAGACATTGCAGTTTCGTCCTTTTATTTTTGAATGTAAAAATTGTATTGTGCACAGTTGTTTTGTCTAAAAGTATGTCTGTGCACTGTGTGTGAGCAGTGCCTGCAAAGGGCAGAGGGAGGCAGAGGATCCCCTGGAATTGGAGTTCTAGGTTGTTGGACAGAGCTGCCCTGTGGGTGCTGGGAGTCAAACCCAGGTCCTCTGGAAGACCAACCAGTGCTCCTAACTGTTGAACCATCTCTCCAGACTCTTTAGGTATTCTTTTCAAAGCTGATCCCATCATAGCGGGTTGTCAGTACTAATAACATTAATGCCATGGAAGTTGTAAGCAGCACCCTAGTACTAAATTAGACTGGCTAAAAAAATTATTTCCAGGCTAAGATGGGAATTCATTTCTTTGGAATTTACTGGTATTTGGGGGAGCTGATGGAACTTTCTTCCTCTGACTATCATTCTCAGGATTCAGGAAGCTACTATATCATATATCCTAAGTGTCCCCAACAACCCTGTCCCAGGTCACCAAACAAGAGACCTAAATGCCATGGGCCTGAAATCAGGACTCTATTCCTCCCTCCTTCATCTTTCCTCTTTTCTTCCCCACTCTCCCTTTTCAATTCCTTATAGGCTAAACTTAGTAGGGGCTCTATTCCCCACCATTCTCCCTGGCCCCAGCAGACAGCTCAAAGCCCAGGGCCCCCTTCCTTCCTTCCTTCCTTCCTTCCTTCCTTCCTTCCTTCCTTCCTTCCTTCAGACCATAACACTTCACTTTCCCTTCTCTGAGCATCACCTGAATATGTGGTACCTGGGAGGCATTCCTCATTACAGAGTTCTGCTTTCATATGAATGGGAATGTTCTGCATGCAGAACATTTCTGTGGCATCTCGAGTTTGTCTGACTGTGTGAGGTCACATCCTTGTGTTTTTGTGCCCATCGCTCCCCTCCACCCAGCATACTGTTGAGAATGGAAGAGCTGATGGGTGTTGTAGGAGGGGTGAGGAAAGGTGAGAGCATCTGCATTGGGTGGGGCTGGGAGAGTGGGCTGGAGGGCCCACGCAGAGACCGACCGGCTGGGACTCTGTCTCACCGGTTTGGGGAGCCAGCTGGCTGGGTAATGGGAGAGGCTCACATTAGGGAGGGATGGGAGGGGCTTGCAGCTCCCTGAGAAAGGGGAGCTGACTGAGGCATACTGGACTAGCTGAGAGCCTGGATGGGATTGCTAGGGGTAGGTGGCACAAATACATTCAGGCGAGTACTCAAACAGTCACACACAGACTGAAACCCTCCAGTGTTCTGGGTCCCCCGCCTGCTCTATTTTCCTATTTAATACATCTAGCATAACTCAATTTTTGTTTTTAGACAGGGTCTTCCTGTGTAGCCCTGGCTGGTCTGGAACTTCTGCCTCCTGAGTCCTGAGATACCAACAATTTATATAAGACCTACTGTTTACCGCCTGCCTCCAGGGGAACAGAAGCTCAGAGAGGGTGGGGTGAGTGGCCTGTTTTGTTCATCATCATGTGCCTTGCGCTTGCTTGGAGCATGCCAGGTACATAAAAGGTGCTCAATGTGTGGATGACTGAAGCCTTCCCCAAACACACTTAGACACACACATATATGGACAGATACACGCTGAGAGACATCTGGGTGCCACAGGCTCACGGCTGCCACAGATAACCTCAGACCTCTGCATGCAGGCACACACACACACACACACACACACACACACACACACACACACACACACACGCGCGCACACACACACATACACACACGCACACATACACACACACGCACACACACGCACACACGCACACGCACATGCGCACACACACACACACCTATGCACTCTGATCCACAAGCACTTTCCATGCCCACACCCAGCAGTCCAGATTCCAGAGCTGGTTCTCACAGCAGCACACATCTGTACAGGCATGCTCAGGCCCCTCCCGCTGCTCCCTGCACCATGCTGTGCCAGACCTGGAGGGCAGCCCCTCCCTGGAGCAGGGGGGTGGGCCACTAGACGCTGACAGCTCAACAGCCTGGGAGGGTGAGGGTGGACAGAGCCATCCTGGAACCTGGGAGCTGTCAGGAACCACTTTCCTATGATAGAAATAGAGGTTAGAGAGAGAAGCTATCCTTACCCAGTTCTGCCTCTAAAGACCAACAGACTTGGACCAGAGCCTAGGGAGGAGTTAGATGGAATATCAGTCCTCTAGGTGTGTGGGCCCCAAGACAGGTCATCTGGCACCCAGGAGCAGGGGTGTGGCAATGAGAACTGCATGCCCTTCCCTGGGTCAACTCCATCTTCCATTTTAGAGGCCTCTGTCCCCTGGGAGTTTGTTGAGGTGTAGAGTCACCTTGACTCTGTGTTCCTCTTGAAAGTGCCCCTTTTGCCCCTAACTCCCTGCAATAGAATGGCAGTAGGAACGATTAGTTATAGGGCATCTCTGCCCCTGCTCCTCCAGACTCCTGTCCCCCAGAGCCAATGCAAGGTTGGGCAAGTGAACTCTGATGGTCCCATTGCATTTCAAGAAGTCCAAAGTTTTCAAACCATTTCCCTAGGGCTCCTCTGGCTACTGAGCTGGGGTTCCAGGAATAGCCAGACTGGGCATGCTTGCTCTAATTCTAGGGAAATTCCTAGAAAGAAAGACATGTATTAAATGTCTTTAGATCCCCTCTGCATAAGCCCCAAGAAGAGTGACCTGGAACTCTGAAAGACACAGACAGCCCCGGGTTAGAAATCTGAAGCCCACTGTCTTCCGAACGCAGCAGGGAATGCTGTGTCTTCATGCCCCCTGGTGGCAAGTCTGAGGTTGCACACAGTTAAGAGGAAACCCCCGCTCTCAGATGACAAGGTTGGAGAGGGTGCCAAGGCCACAGGGTACACCAGCTGGCATTATGTAGATAAGGAAGATGGGTTGAGGGAGGGAGGCAAGTACCTGTCCCCACACAGCTCAACCTTGGAGACTGGCCTCAGGTGCAGTGATTCATTCAACAATAAACATTTATTGAGCACCAGAACTCCAAGCCCGAGTTCTTCAACCCCCTCTGCAGCTCGGACAGAACTGTCACCTGGCTGGCCTTGGTTCTGTAAGACTCAAGCCAGAAGATGAAAACTTCCTCAGGAGGATGTCCACCTTGGAGCAGAAAGGGGGAGAAGCGGCCCCCACCAACTCAGTTGCCAGCCAGCAACATGGCCACCATTCTGCGGTTCAAGGACACAGAGAGGCAGGGTGGAGTCTGGGTGGGAGACCAACTATGTCCCTTTTAAGATTTTTCTTTTTGTTTTATTTTGAAACCGGGTCTCACTATGTAACCTCGACTGGCCTTGAACTCACATTCCAAGTGCTGGAATTAAAGGCCTGTGCTACCACACTCAGCTGTTTTTTTTTTTAAACAAGGTCTCACTATGTAGCCTCAACTGGTGTGGATTTGTAGGTCACGCTGGCCTGGAACTGAGATCCGCCTGCTTCTACCTCCCTTGGGTGCTGGTGTCAAAGGCATGCACCACTACTCCTGGCCATTTTAAGTTTTAATAAATAGTTCTTGCTCCTAGCCTGGTATCCTGAGTTTGAGGGGTGCACCATGTCACCGCTCTTTTTTTTTTTTTTTTTTTGAGACAGGGTTTCTTTGTGTAACAGCCCTGGCTGTCCTGGAACTTGCTCTGTAGACCAGGCTGGCCTCGAACTCACAGAGATCCGCCTGCCTCTGCCTCTCAAGTGCTGGGATTAAAGGCGTGTGCCACCACTCTTATGCCAGCTCAGGTTCTGGCTCTGAAAAGGAAGGAGAGAGCAAAGAGTTAGTCCTGCCCATGTCAGCAGGTGTCTATGGACTGAACTAGCAGGAGGGTAGATCTCTAACAGGCTGGAGCACCCCAGAGCAGGGTGGCAGCACCCACCCGCATTCCACCGACACCATAGCCCAGGGAGAACCCCTGTCCCTAGAGCCCATCCCAAACTGTGTTATCCCTGCATCGCAATCCATTACTGACCGGCCTCGGCCTCATCGCCCTTGGCATCTGGCTCCTGCCACCAGTCCGCATAGAGGCCCTCCTCATAGTCGCCCTCCCCTTCAAACTCAGCATCAGACAGCGCTTCTCCTGTCTGCTCCAGGTCATTCGGGGGTGATTCCGTCTCCTCCAGTTCCATCTAGAGCAGCCCAGGGTTGGGGGGGGCGGTAACTGAGTAACAGCAGCCCCACATCCATACAGGTTCCCCTTCAGATCAGAATACCCCACCCATCTTTCAGCTCACACACACTTCAGTAGGTCTCCTGGTACTGTCTTGGCAGGAGGTGAGCAGGCGGGCCTGAAAACCTCTCCCCAGTGTCAGTATCTAACATGAGGGCAACGTCAGGGTTTGTCCTGCCGGGTCCCATTCTGAAACTGCTTCCCTGAGTGACACTTGGGGCTCCACCAGCAGAGGCGGGGTGCCAGCGTCAGCATGGCTTGCACCTCAGCCCCACCTTTGGCCCCACCCCCGGTGAGAACACTGCTAGTCTGTGCATTTTGTCTTCTGCCTCTGCTCCCCTGCCAGCAATGTCTTTGCAACCCCGACCTGGATGGGCCATGGATTCCGCCAAAACCACAAGTCCACCCCAGGCTGAGGGTTTCAAACATCGCCCTGACCGATACCCACACTGGCCCCTGCAGCTGCACGGTCTCCGCCTTCCTTGTGAGAACCTCTGGGAGACAGACTGTTCCTCTCAGCCACTTACTGCAACCCAAGCCTGATGTCCGGCAAACAGCAGACCAAAAGTGACAGCCATCAAAACTGCTGCGTGTCCTCAGCAGCTACTGAGTGCCAGCTGCATACTTGGTGCTCTAAATCATCTCCTTTAATCGTCACCACAATAAAAGTCAGCTGATGGGTGAAGATGCAGGACTTTGCTAAGTTACTTAAGACCAGCCGATGCTAAGGCCACCCATCTGGCAAATGACGGAGCTGGATGAACAGGACCTAAGTTAGCCATGTGTCACAATGCAGACCCTGTTTCTGAGATCACTGAATGTGGGGTACAGTGAGCGTACTGAGGGGGTGGATAAACAAGTTGCATAGCAATCCCCCAAGAAACCTAGGCCTCCAAACCCTCACTATGAACTGGTGCATACAATGGCTCTTACCAGTATCATTCACTCACTCACTCATTCATTCATTCATTTGTCCACTGGCTCAAACACAGTTCCTGAGAATGGGCATAATGTGAGGTTCTGTAGCAGAGCTGGGGAAAATTTAGTCTCCTGTCCTGGGATGCAGTTGTCAAGGAGACTGGCCATCTGGCCATGGTGAGATGGATGAGGACTGTGAGTAACTCCAGGTCTCAGGTCAGGTGGCTAGGCAGGTAGGGAGACCAGTGCAGCCCCAGAAGAAAAGCCAGGGCATACAGCAAGTGCTCCCTAAAGGAGCTGCCATTTGAGCTGGGCGCAGGAGGCATAGACCTGGGACAGGCAGAGAAAGAACCATGGGAACACAAGGTGGCGGGAAAGGGGAGGTACAGACGGGGGACAGGAAAGTCCTGCTTCACAACAGTGACCTCAGGAAAGAGCCTAACATGTGCCCATCATGGCGCCACTCACCTCATCATCTGACTGAAGGTACATGCGTGTGAAGTCCAGTAACTCCCGGAGCTCGGAGGTCTGGTTGTGGTAGAGCATGGCCTCCTAGGGGGAGGGAAGGAAGGATTGAGTGAGGAGGGGACCTCGCTGACAGATGGCAAAGGCAGGGCTCAGGGCTCAGGGGGAAGTGGATCAGCTCACAGAATAATCCTAGCTACTTGGAACACTGGATTAGGAAGGATTCTGAGGATTCCAGGAGGAAGAGTGCTTCAATCCATTAGTAATGTCTGCCACAGGCATGGAAAGTGGGGATGGTACCATGGGACTCACATTTGCCAGCCTTGCCCTAACCTGCCAAGGGGTTTTGTCATTGGTTCAGGCTAGCAGGCCCTGGGGAGGGAAAGCTCAAAGGACAGCACTGAGGTGAAAGCGGGCATGCGTGGACACCTATTTGCATCTCTCCCACATCCCAGACACTATGCTGAAGCCTAGACTCTAACCACAGCCCACACTTATCCTTCCCCTTCCTCTCCAGCCTTCCAAGGAAGTCAAGAGGTTTTTTGTTTTTGTTTTTTTTCTAAACCAAACCACAAAACTGCACATTAGGCCAGTGCCTCACTAGAGGCAGTTCCCACCTCCCGGGGCTGGAAGTCCTCCTCTTCAAGGCCCCAGCGAGCCCGGTGGAAGCGGTAATACACCAGGTTCTGCTGCATGATGCTGTCCTTGGGGTCAAAGAGCATGTAGCTAGCAGCACTTCGGGCGGCCTGGCGCACGTCATTCACTGCAGACCGGACAGAGTAAGGGGTAACCCCGATGTTTCCTTCAAAGGCAACCCACTCACCCCATCTCACTCCCACCTTCCAACCTAGCCTGCTGCCTCTACCCCCAGACACCTTCCAGAATATCTGCTGGCTCCTCACCCGGCCCAAAAGAACACAATCCAACAGGCCCAGGGTGTTGCCCTTGGACCAGGCAAGTGTGAGTCACTGACATGTCAATCATTGTCATTGTGGTAAAGCTTTGGAGGCACAGAGGGACTAGGTAAACTGCTTGTGCTGATATCGCTGAAGAGTGACAGCAGCTGGAGGAATTAGAGACCTTCAGGGCGCTTTGCCACAGCCCTCAGGAAGAGTCTCCAGACCTCAGATCTTTCGCTCACAGCTCTAGCCTCTGAAGGGTTCATCCCTGAGTGGTAGGAACCTTGAACTGCCCACTCCAGCCCCAGCAGATGACACATCCTCTCTGTGACTCCCTACTCATGGGGATAATGGTCTCTTGCCCTTTAGAAACCTCAGTTTAATCTAATGAATGGGTCCCGGAATGTCAGGGGCATGGTGCTGGTGACAGGAGAGAGATGAGGGCTACATAGATCTTCAGTGCTGAGCAGCGTCGCCGTCCTGGTCTACCCCCGGGAATACCTCTAATTCTTCCTTGAGGCTTCTCGCCTTCCCCCATGTCCCCTGCCTGGGCTCCTGCCCATGTCTGCACCACCCCTAGCCTTTCACCCCCTTTTCCAGAGTCTTCAATCTGAGAGACACCGTCCTACATTTCTGGGGGACCTCACCCTTACCCCACCTCACCAGCCCATTCAGGAAGCTCACATTTGTAGTAGGCAAACTGCAGGTAGTGATACATGGTGGCCACAAACTTGTCCACAAAGTAGCCACCCACGTTGGGTATGAGATTGTCTTCACAGTCCACCTTGCACTGTAGAGACTCTGCAAAAAGATCTAGAAGGATGCAGCAGTTAGGAACTGCCGTGTAGTAAACCTGATTGCCCGTGGAGACCAAGATCAGCCTTTGGAGCCTGTTTCCCTCTACAAGAAGTATGTCCTTGTCAAGATTTCATGTGTCAGCATGTATGAAATGCTTGGCGCACAGTACAAAATGCTAGCTGAGAAGAACTTGCTGTCCCCTACCTCTGTTGCTCAACCCCTATTTGACACCAGGGGGAATTCTGGGAGAACAGCAGGTGACCTTTAGATGGAACTGAGACCTTACAGGATCTTATGTATGTATGAGGGTTTTAGATACCAGAGTTAGACAGTTGTGAGCTGCCATGTGGGTGCTGGGAATTGAACCCAGGTCCTCTGGAAGAGCAGTCAGTTTTCTTGACCACTGAGCCATCTCTCCAGCCCTCACCTTTACTCTCCTTGAAGGGCCTTGTGGTTCGGGATCCAAAGGCTGGCTGTGATTTTTGTCCCCAGTTGCTTTCTTCACACACTTGTCTGGTGTGGATTCTGAAGCTTTTTTTGTTGTGTCTTTCGTTTGTTTTTTGTTTTTGTTTTGAGACAGGGAGTCACTATGTAATTATAGGTGTTCTGGAACTCACTATGTAGACCAGTGTTGTGGAACATTACTTTAACTATGTAAAGGTGTGTTGCTGCATTTGTTTAAGATGTGTTGCTGTTTCACCTTGCCTGTCTAAAACACCTGATTGGTCTAATAAAAAGACAAGTGATCAGTAGCTGAGCATTAGAGGGACAGGCTAATAGCTAGGCAGTAGAGGGCAGAGGCTGGTGGGCAGAGACTGAGTAGGAGGAGAAAGCAAGCGAGGAGAAAATGAGGTTGAAAGTAAGGGAGATGCCCAGGGTCAGTCAGCCCGGCAGCCACCAAATCCAAATAGGACACAGAATGAAAGAAAAGTAAAAAGCCCCGAAGCAAAATGTAGATGAAAAGAAACAGGTTAATTTAAGTTACAAGAGCTAATGGGACAAGCGTAAGATAAGACTGAACATTTCCTAATCAAGTCTCCTGTCATGATTTGGTAACTGGTGTTGGGAGCTGGTTGGTGGCCCGAAGACCAGACTGGCCTTGAACTCACAGAGATCCACCTAGCTCTGCCTCCGGAGTGCTGGTATGAAAGTCGTCCGATACCATGCTCCCCGGCCCCCTTTTTGAGACAAGATTTCTCTATACAGCCCTAACTGCCCCGTAATTTGCTATGTATACCAGCATTTCTCTCATCAGACTGGAGACAGAAAAGGCCTAACTCGTGTAGCTTCCGAGAACTTTGCTGTATCCACTGAATGCCCTTGCAGGTCATAGCCACGTGTTAGGAGGCCTCGGGAGGCCTGGGAAGCAGGGGTCCTGTGGGTGAGGGATACCCACGGTGGTCTGAGTAGGAGATACCTGCTATGGCTGGGTAGAAGTCCTTGAAGTCTACCTGCTCAGGGGCCCCCTCACAGCCAGCTAGACACCGAGCGAAGACTGTCATGTACTCTGCCAGGGCCCGCTCCATGTCTTCTGTGCTGCCGCGGAAGTCCCCGCTGTTGTAGAGCTTCACAGCCCGGAGGAACACAGCCTGGAGAGGAGCATGGCACCGGGGAGTCAAGGGCACCCGGACAACTAGTAAGGTGTGTGTTTGGGGGGGACGGGGATGTAGGGAGGCGCGCCAAGGCCAGCCCACCCTCCCACTCTCTCCACACCTCGTAGGGCTGGGCCTCTAGGTCGGTAAGGGACTCATCTCCCATATCCAGCATCCCCCTGTAGTAGCTGAGGTACTTGGCGGTCAGCTCGTGCTTGGGGTTCCTCTGGAGGAAGGTGTAGGCCGCAGCCACCGCCTTCTCCAGTCGGTTCGCCTGGTGAGGGGCGTGGGGAGTGGGTCAGTGGGGCGTCGGGCGCACCGCCGGCCTCACTGTTCTAGGGAAACTCGACGGCGGTCCGGGCCGCGCCCACCTTGAACTGCGCGTAGTGCAGGTACTGATAGGGCAGGCGGCTCTGGAAGTCGCGCAGCAGCTGCCTCGGCGGGTAGGGGACCTGGAAGGCGGGCAGCGTCCGCTTGCAGCGCCGCAGGCAGGCGGCGCGCTCCAGGACGTGACCGAAGAGCCGCAGCTCGCGCGCCCAGTCCTCGCCATCGCCGTCGCTGTCATCGTCCGGGCCGGGCGCGGGCCGGGGCTGCGAGGCGGCGGGGCCGCTGCAGTTGGCGTGGCAGAAGGCCTCGCTGTCGCGCAGCAGCCGGTGCAGCCGCAGCGCCGCCTCCAGGTAGCGCGCGCTCTCGCGCCAGCTCTCGCCCTCGTACTGCTCCAGAGCGTGGCCGTAGGCCGTGGCCAGAGGCATCAGGTCCTCCGGAGGGAAGCCTCGGAAGCTGTACTTCTCGTACTGCGCGCCCGCGCTGCCCAGCAGCAGCCACAGCAACCCCCACGCCGGGCGAGCCATGCCCGCGCCGCGCCCCGAGGCTCTCGGAGCAGCCCGAGGACCGACTGGCTCCAGCCCCCCCACCCCCACCCCCGGAGTTCCTGCTGGGTCTTAGCGCCGAGCCCCGGGCTAAAGCGGGGAGGTTGGGACAGCCCTCTTTTTTCGGAGGGTCAGTTGTCGCCCTAGTCCGCTACGTGGGCTGCACTTCCCACACTTGCAATGCTTTCCCCGCCCCGCCCTCTCCCCTAACCCGGGTAGGTGGGGCTCTATTTCACGCCCAGGAAGCCCCTCCCCACCGGCAGCGTCCCCAACCTCAAGTGCCACCTCTCTCCACTTTGTCTATGCTCCGGGTGAATCTGATCTTTTCTCCAGAACTCCCTTTGCACCCTCTAGGTGGCCCCGCGCCGGCGTCGAGGGGGCAACACAGCTCGTGTTGCCCCGCACACCGGGCACTGGACACTACCAGCCTCCCGACTGAGTTTGATCCCTGTGTCTTTCCTTGCTATTGCAGGATAAAGCTGCCTTTCACCTAGAAGAACACCTTCCCCCACCCCACCCCTCAATTCCCGGGAAGAAAGTTGGGGCAGGGGGGAAGGACTGAGAGATCCTACAGATTACCGCCTCACCTGCCACCAGAGGGGCCTAGATTTGGGGAGCCAGGAAAAGCTAGAGATGCTTCCAACCAGCTTTAGGACCCAGAGGCTCAAGAAGAAAAAAAAAAAAAACTTTCTCTTGGAAGTCCATTCTGACTTCTCAGCTCTCCCGAGCCTCCCTCTGGGCCAGGCCCGAAGTTTTGGGGGAGGGAGACTCAGAGATCTTTGTGGCAAATTCCTGGGACTCCAGAGACTCTCAACCTGACCCCCTCCTCCTAGTCCACCACAAACAGAACCCCACCCGGCCAGCTCAGTCTCCCCAGCCCCCATTCCACGTGGACTCGCCAGGGCGGGGTAGGGAGAGAGGACAGGAAGGGGGGGAGTCAGCTCTGAGGAGGGGGAAGGAGGCTGACGGCTGGCGTCTGCCCTCGTTGCCGGCGTCCTCGATCTGGGCACCATGTTCCTTGTGGGGTCCCCCAGCCACACCCTCCGCCGGCTTCCCATCCTGCGGTTGCTGCTGCTTCTACAGGTTTTGGAGAGAGGGCTGGGCCGTGCCAGCCCGGCCGGAGCCCCCTTGGAAGATGTGGTCATCGAGAGGTACCATATCCCCAGGGCCTGTCCCCGAGAAGTGCAGATGGGGGATTTTGTGCGTTACCACTACAATGGCACTTTCGAAGATGGGAAGAAGTTTGACTCCAGGTAAGACGTCGGGCATCCCAGACTCAACACCACTTCCCTAAGCTCCCAGGGAATGCAGCCCCTTGTAAGCTTTGTATTCCTGTATTCCTCCCACGACCCCTAGCCCCAAACAGCACCCTGGGGAGGGGCCCTTTTCAAGGTAGCCCTGTTTTCAATACCAGATCTTCAACTCCTGAAAGACCCACACACACACACACACACATCCCCCCCAGAATACTTGGTGCTCCCTGAAGTGAGCATTTGTTTACCATTTCCTTATTTAAAGACATGAGCGGTACCCTGGTACACAGTCTTAGGAGGAACAGAGACTGTGCATTCTACATGTGAACCCTGGGGGGTGAGATGGTGGATGGGGCCTTCTGCCTTTTCACACACCCTGGCTCCCTGTCTACCTCCACCTCGGGTTTCCTATGCCTTTGGAGACTAGAGAAGCAACATTTTCTTTAGGGCATAGGACCCTGGAAAGCCAGGGAGGGCCTTAAGCAGAGTGGGCCTTGTAACTTTGGAGAAGGCCATAGCTGGTGCTGTGTCCAACTGTCCACGTGTCACAAGTGTGACATGCCACCCTGGGGACCTCCCTGCCACCTTCTCCAAGTCTCAGGACTCAGTTCCTCCATCTTTGCTTTAGCAGCCAACACTAGGCTGCATTGCCAGCCTTGGCTTGAGGATCAGGCTTCCATTCTGACCTAGGTTCTTGGTCAGACAGGCAGATCCCCGTTGGTTATTGGGGACAGAGCAGGGCTGTGTGGCAGCCTCTTTCCAGGCTATAAGATAAACTTCAGGCCCTATCACACTTGAAACTCTACACCAAAAAAGGAGAGTCACCCTTCAGTCTCTTCTCCCAAGTATGCAATTCAGCCCACAAGCAATTAGTGGTCATGACTCTGGAGGGAGATTGTGGACTGGATGAGAATACTGTCTCTATAGTGTCAGACCCTGGGTTCGAATCCAGGCTGCGACAGAGGAGGAGTTTCGTCTCTTTAATCTTCACTTTCCTTGTCTGAAACATGGGATGGGACCAGCCCTACTTCCTAAGGGTGCAAATGAGGAAGATGAACGACAGTGGATTCCACAGTGCCTGCAGACCTCCAGTGGGTTCAGGACATATTGGCCTTGGCTCTGGGGAGAACCATAAGCCTGAGGGCGTTTAACTCAGAAACGTTGTGCACAGCATTGACCTTTGTACAGCATTGTAAAGGAAATAGACTAGACATAATATCTACACTGTGGGCAAAGTGAGGGATAGAGCTGGGAGCACAGCCAGTAACCTTAAAAAAGCTAAAATAATAATGAAAAAAAATTACCACCTCCCAGCATGGCACATACCTTTAATCTCAACACTTGGGAGGCAGAGGCAGACAGATCTCTGAGTTCAGTCAAGGCTAGCCTGGTCTACAGAGTGAGTTACAGGAAAGTCAGGGCTACACAGAGAAACCCTGTCTCAGAAACAAAAACCAAACCAAGAAAATACATATTTATTTATTTTATAAATATGAATCTTTTGCCCAAATGTATGTATGTGCCCTGGGCGCATGCCTGGTGTCGGAGGAAGTCAGAAGAAGGATGGATGGCTGTGAACCACCATGTAGGTACTGGGACTTGAACCCACATACTTTGCAAGGGCAACAAGTGCTCTAAACACTGAGACATCCTCCAGACTCCTTTTTTGGAGACAAGTTCTTACTATGTAGCCCTGGCTGACTTGAGAGTTACTAAGTAGGCCAGGTTGGCCTCAAACTTAAGAGAGCTGCCTGCCTCTGCCTCCCAAGTGCTAGGATGGGCCTGGTTTTTAAATGTTAAAATTAGAAAACTTTTTTAACCCTTGGTTTCCTTCATCCAAGAGAATCTCCTGGGGTGGAGAGATGACTCGGCGGTTAAGAGCGCTTATTCTTGCAGAGGATCTAAGTTTGGCTCCCGGAACTCTTATGGTGGGATCTCTGACATCCACAGACACCAGACATGGTTTGCCCATGGTACATAGACACACAGACAAAACACTCAAATACGTAAAATGAATATGAACAGATTACTATCCCATTCTTGGGGCTGGGAGTGTAGTTCAGTTAGAGTACTTGCCCAGCATGCATGAAGTCCTGGGATTCCCAGAACCACCATCAGCTGGGTATGGTGGCATCCACATGTAATCCCACATTCAGGAGGCAAAGGCAGGAAGACTTGACTACATAGAGAGTTCCTGGCCAGCCAGGGCTACAGATGCTACCGTCTCAAAGAGCAGGGGAAGGGGTGACTGCAGAGGTGGCCCAGTAGTTAAGGGTGCTTGCTTTACAATCATTACAAGCGTTAGCACCCATATGAGAAATTGGGCATCCTGTGCATACCTAGGGTCAGTGCCCTTTGGGGGCCTCTGCATGTGTGCACAGGTGCACACAGAAGTGTGCACACACTCACAGACATACATGCATATACAAATCTCGCTTTCTCTTTTTTCTTTAAAGAAAAGAACTATCTCTTTACTTGTGAAAATCAATACCAGCCAGGGTAAGTTTAGGATGGGCTTTCTTCCGAGCAAGGCTGCTTGCCACCTCATCTCTGGCCACTTCTGCTTCCTGTTCTTTGGAGAATGGATGCTTAGTAGCAGAAACTAGGAGCTGTGACCATAGATGGGGTGATGAGGTTATCAGGTCTCAGTTTTTCTCTTAGAAAACAAAACAGCCTGTTCTTGATGATGATGATGATGATGAAGACAGGGTTTCTCTACCTAGCTCTGGCTATCCTGGAACTCCTTATTTAGATCAGGTTGGCCTTGAATTCACAGAGATCCACTTGCTTCTGCTTCTGGGTTGCTGGGATTAAAGGTGTGCACCACTACACCCATCCAGTCTGATGTCCTAATTGGAGCAGAAGGGCTAGCCCAGGAGAGAGACCTGGAGAGGAGAGGAAGTGAGGAGTGTGTGTGCCCGCATCGTGTCCTGTGTTTATGAGACTGTGGGCAGAGGGTATCCTGTAGCTGTGTGCATGCCTATCTGTCCCTTTACTCCCCAGCTATGATCGCACCACCCTGGTGGCCATCATTGTGGGTGTAGGCCGCCTCATCACTGGCATGGACAGAGGTCTCATGGGCATGTGTGTTAACGAGCGCCGTCGCCTCATTGTGCCTCCCCACCTGGGCTACGGCAGCATTGGTGTGGGTAAGGAGGCTGGGGTATGGTCACAGGGGGTGGGACGCGGTGGGGGAGGGGTGGGCAGGAAGCAGGAATAGATAGAATGCTGAAGCTCAAAGGGGCTGGATGACTTGGCCAAGGTCACACTGCGCTCAGTCTGATTGGTAGGGGCTACGGCCATTGTTTCACTCTGGAATGAGAGGAGATGGGTACAGAGCCCTGTGTGGAGTCACAGCGTGGCTAGGAGGGATGGGAGTTGGGGTCAGAGGTATAGCAGATGGTGGGGGAGGTGTCGGGACTGCTGTCAACTTGGCCCTTGCTGCTTCCCCACAGCGGGCCTCATTCCCCCTGATGCCACCCTCTATTTTGACGTGGTCCTGCTGGATGTGTGGAACAAGGCGGACACGGTGCAAATGTCCATCCTCCTGCGCTCTCCTTACTGCCCCCGCATGGTGCAGAACGGCGACTTTGTGCGCTATCACTACAACGGCACTCTGCTGGATGGCACTGCCTTTGACAACAGGTAGAACCTGCGAGGAGTCCTAAGGCCGGGACATGTGACCAAGAGCAGGCAGCCCGGGCCTGTTCTGCCTCCCTCACCTCCAGCCACAGGGTCTTCGCCTTATTCTCTGCAGCTACAGCAGGGGAGGCACGTACGACACCTACATCGGCTCTGGTTGGCTGATTAAAGGCATGGACCAAGGGCTGCTAGGCATGTGTCCTGGAGAGAAAAGGAAGATCATCATTCCTCCCTTCCTGGCTTATGGGGAGAAAGGCTATGGTAAGGCAAGGGCACAGGGGAATTCTCCAGAAGAGGGGCAACTAGGGCTCTACGGGGATTGTGTTCAGTCCAAGGGCATCCAGCCAAGGACTCAAGTGGAGATGAAATCTCCCTCCCCAGACAGAATTGCTTTATTCTGATTTACACACAGGCTCAGAATGGGTTGGTGATGGCTCTGGGGACAACCAAAGGAGGGGGATGTAGGAGACCAGAGTAGTTCTTTTTTGCATGAGGCCCCTTGCTGAGCCTGGGCTTCCTCCCCACCTGTATGGTTCAAGCCCTGTGCCCTCCCCAGGGACTGTGATACCCCCGCAGGCCTCCCTCGTCTTCCATGTCCTGCTGATTGATGTCCACAACCCGAAGGACACAGTCCAGCTGGAGACGCTGGAGCTGCCCCAGGACTGTGTCCGGCGAGCCGTGGCAGGGGACTTTATGCGTTACCACTACAATGGCTCTCTAATGGATGGTACCCTCTTTGATTCCAGGTTAGAGGGTCCCCTGAGATGGGAGGGTGGGGGTTGAAGGGCACTCTGAAGGGGGGGGCTGGAAGGGGTGGGGTCCTTTTGACTCCCTCCCCACCCGTTCCCCTCTGTTGCAGCTACTCCCGCAACCACACCTACAATACCTATGTCGGGCAGGGTTACATCATCCCTGGGATGGACCAGGGGCTGCAGGGTGCATGCATAGGGGAACGAAGGAGGATTACTGTGCCCCCTCACCTTGCCTACGGGGAGAACGGGACAGGTAGGATTTGGTACCCAGGCCACCCCTCAGCTCCTCTTACGTGTGCCCCTAGGATTGCTGTCTCTCCCATTGCCAAGCATGTACAATTTATATTGGTCACCCATTGGAACTCTACCAAGCAGACCCTATCCTGTTCCTTCAAGGCAGGCCTCACTCCCTTCCCAAACCCCTCCCCCAGTGGAGAAAGGCAGCCAACACCTAAGTTTGGGGATAGAGGATGGTTAAGAATAAACAGCAAGCCGGGCCTTGGTGGTGCACATCTTTAATTCCAGCACTCGGGAGGCAGAGGCAGGTGGATATCTGTGAGTTCAAGACCAGTCTGGTCTACAAAAGCTAGTTCCAGGGCAGCCTCCAAAGCCACAGAGAAATCCTGTCTTGAAAAACCAAAAGAAAAAAAAAAAAAGAATAAACAGCACCACTGAGCAAAGAGGCCTGTATTAGAGATTCTGGGAGCCTCAGGCTCCTCACTGGTGCGCTGGGACCACTCATAGAAGGATGTTACTGGGAGCTTGCTTGCAAGGTGTTGGTTGGAAAAGGGTTTTCCTGCCTGCCTGTCCCATCACTCCAACAGCAAGATGTAGGAAGCACTCATTCTAGAACATATCTGACCTCATATGACTCCCTGAGATTGGGAAGGGGTACCAGTCTGGGCCCCGTGGAGACAGTGAGCAGCCCTCACCCAGAGCCCTGAGCTAACCATGCCCCATCTGGCCTCAGGAGACAAGATCCCTGGCTCAGCCGTGCTCATCTTTGACGTGCATGTCATCGACTTCCACAACCCCGCGGACCCTGTGGAAATCAAGACTCTGTTCCGGCCACCTGAGAACTGCAACGAGACATCCAAGATTGGGGACTTCATTCGCTACCATTACAACTGCTCTCTACTGGACGGCACCAGGCTCTTCTCTTCGTGGGTTCTTGGGCAGGGCTAGGGCTGGGCAAGTGGTGGGCTCAGGTGTGGGTGGGCTTCTAATAGCTTGCAGGCCCTTTCTCCTCTCTCTGGTCTCACAGTCTCTCAATTCCTCCGCAAGTCCCCATCTGAGTGAGCCTCAGGGAGCCACAGATATGAAATATGGGGAAAACGGTGGGGGAGAGAAACTAGAGGAAGAGAGAACTTCCACTCTAGTATAACGGAGAAGTTGAAAGAGATGAGTCCTCAGATATCTCTGCCTCTGACCTGGGAATCCAATTTCCCCACAGCCACGACTATGAGGCCCCTCAACAGGCCACCCTGGGCGCCAACAAAGTGATAGAAGGTCTGGACAGGGGCCTGCAGGGCATGTGTGTGGGAGAGAGGAGGCAGCTCATTGTGCCCCCACACCTGGCCCATGGGGAGAGTGGAGGTAAGGGACATCGACCTGGATACAATGTCTATTTCCAGTCTGCCCTGCCCATCTCAGACCTTGGTGGCCGAGGGGTGGGATCAGGGAAACTTTTAGGACAGTTCCTAAACATCTCATGCCCCTTCCGTGAGAGAAAACTAAGGCCCATTGTGACAAGCATTCTTCCCGCCAGCCTGGTCCCAGAGCCGTACCAGTCCCAAATGAACACGCAGGACGCTATATTATGAAGCTGTTGGCCGTTTGCTATGGTTTCTTTCTTTCTTTTTTTTTAAATATTTTATTTATTTATTTATTATGTATACAATCTTCTGCCTGCATGCCAGAAGAGGGCACCAGATCTCATTCAAGGTGGTTGTGAGCCACCATGTGATTGGCAGGAATTGAACTTAGGACCTCTGGAAGAACAGTCAGTGCTCTTAACCTCTGAGCCATCTCTCCAGCCCCTTGCTATGGTTTCTTAATGGCTAGCTCTGACTTTATTGTTAACCCATAACTGCTAATATGTATGTTTATAAGGTCTTATCTTACCAAGAATGCCAGACTTGCTCCTCCCAGGATTGAATGGCAACTCCCTGCTCTTGACTACATTTCCCAGAATCCTCCTCGACTCCTAGTCCCACCTAACTTGTTTCCCCGTTGGCCAATAGTGCTTTCTTTATCAACCAATAAGACAGACATATACACAGAAGGGCTTCCCCCATCAGCCCATGTTAAGGCTTAGCTTCAGGCCCCACTGGAACCCTGTCCCCTTCTTTCCCCTCCCTCTCTCCAGCCCGGGGCGTCCCTGGCAGTGCTGTCCTGCTATTTGAGGTGGAGCTGGTATCCCGAGAGGACGGCTTGCCCACGGGCTACCTGTTTGTGTGGCACCAGGATCCTCCACCCAGCCTGTTTGAAGACATGGATCTCAATAAAGATGGAGAGGTGCCCCCGGAAGAGGTAGGCTGGGAACTTAGTCACAGCCTGGACCTGGAAGCCAGAGCATGCTTCCTTGCCCTCTGCCCACCCCCACTGCACTTGTTGAGCTTCAAGCCTTCCTCTCCTGCACACTGTGCAGTCCGCCCTCCCATCTGGCTGTCTCGTACCCCACCTGCTCCCCAAGTTACACCCCGCCTGCTCCCCGTTACACCCCGCCTGCTCCCCAAGTTATACCCCACCTGCTCCCCAAGTTATACCCCGCCTGCTCCCCAAGTTATACCCCGCCTGCTCCCCAAGTTATACCCCACCTGCTCCCCAAGTTATACCAGCCTGAATTCCCCGACACCCAGGCCTGGGGAAACAGTGTTGGACTCCACCCGAGGCCCCTTCCCTAGGCCACCCACAGCTGTTGACATGGACCCTCACCGCTTTGATGTCCTCTGCTCTCCCCTCCTCCAGTTCTCCTCCTTCATCAAGGCTCAAGTGAATGAAGGCAAAGGGCGCCTCATGCCAGGGCAAGACCCTGACAAAACTATAGGAGACATGTTTCAGAACCAGGATCGAAACCAGGATGGCAAGATCACAGCCGAGGAACTCAAGCTGAAGTCAGATGAGGACCGGGAGAAGATCCATGAGGAGCTCTGAGGGCCAGAGTCTCAGGTCTGACCTCAGACGTAAAGGCCCCCCGCTGGGGGGCAGTGGCAGTGGAACTGGCCTGCCAACAGCACCCCTCCCTCGGTGGGGATAACTCTGGGAGTCACTGAGTGTCATCAGAGACTGCGGGGACCTTCCCACCAGCAGTGGTTACCAGTCCACAGCACAGACCTCTGCATTCGTCTCTTCCCAACCCTACACCTCTTCCTTGGGGTTCCCGGCGTGATAAATCTGATTCGGGGAGGCGTATTTGGGTAGGGCCATTGCTGACCCCGCACACCTATACCTCCCATTCACACGCTAGACTCAGCAAGGGTGAGCTCCTTGGTCCTTCACTTTCCCAAATGTACCTTTGTTTGTACTGTCCTGCCCCATCGCCCTGTCCATGTCTGTCCCCATCCCGTCACGGCAGCTCCCCAGGGGTGTGAGTGAGGAAACCCTGTATTCTCCTACATCAGCTCTGCCCGCTCCTCAGGAAGGGGTGGCTCCAGGAACACTGCCAGCCACCCTTCTAACTCAGCCTCCTCCCTGACCACCGGGGTCAGTTTTTCATCTTACAGAGGCCTTCTTGGAAAGGAAAGGGTGTGTGAGGACACCTGCTTGGGCTTTAGGGCTGTGCAAACCCGCACTTGGTGCTAATTTGATGGGAGGGAGGGAGGCAGAGTTCTGGGCGCTCAAAGGCGAAACTGATCCAATCCTTTCTCCTTTGTGTCAATAAAAGGTTAAACTGAAGGCATCAAGAGGTGATCTTTCAGCGGGCCCTGTGGACAGGGGGAAGGAAACTATAGACAATTGATATGGCAAGGTCCTAGCGCAGCAATCCCTTCTGTGTTGCTCTGCAGTCTTCCTGGGGATCTGGTCTCAAATCCCTTTAAGGGGGCCGGAGAGGTGAATCAGTGGTTACAAGCCCTGGTTGCTCTAGAAGAGGATCCAGGTTGAGTTCCTAGAGCCCACGTGGTGGATAACCATTGTAGGTAGCTCCATTTTAAGGGGATCCGGCACACTCTTCTGACTTCTGCAGTCACCAGACATACATCTGGTGCACACACATCCATGCGGGGAAAACATTCATATACATTAATTAAAATAAAGCCCCTTTTGGGTCATTATACCAATGGCACTAGACCAAAAAGTGGAGGAAAGATCCAAGGACATAAGGAAAATCCATACTGAAATGGATCCTTTGTGTATGTGGGGGTGTCTCAGACAGGTCACCTCAACCCAGCCGAGTTTCAAATCAAGGCTGTACCCATTCCAGGTCAGGATCACACCTGTCCACTCCTACCCTCCCAGACACACATACTGTGACTTACAGACACCCTCCTGGGCTATTCTGGGATTTGGGCTGCAGGCAGACTCACACTGTACTCACACGGGGTTTCTAAGCTTTCCCACTGCCCTCAAACTTTGTTCTGTGGAGCTCCGGAAGTTTCCTGCAGGCCCTTGTGCCTTGAGGACCCGGGCCTAGGCTGCACACTCAGCTCCCACACCATGAGTTGGAGCTACTGTTTTTTCATTTTTCACCTGACTCACGCATTGTATTTGTCTTGATTTCGGCTTTACTTTCCCTTTTTCTTTTTTTTACAGTGCTGGGGAAGGGACCCAGGGCCCACCACATGCTAGGCTTCACCACTGAGCGATCTGCATTTCCAGCTCTGAAAACTTGGGCTCGATGGTCTGCAGAATGCATGCTGTGTACGTGGTTCACTTGGAAGCACACTTGCTGCCCTCCTGCAGACAGGGCCTCCCTCTATCCGCTTCCTAGCAGGAGAAAGGCAAAGGCATGGGGAAGGAGTCGGGGTGAGGAGGGTCCAGCAGCTGGTGACTGCCCTAGACTTCTCTCAGCGCTCACAGAGGACGCTTCGTAGGCAGGCGTTCCTTCCTCCCCATCAGCGCCTGCAGGGCCTGGTCCAAGCCTTGGTGCTTAGGAGCCCTGGAGCTCCATGCAGTCCTCCTGGCGCAGGATGTGCTGCAACAGCCCATTGACCACGTCTAGCGTCTCGTCCTTCTCCAGCACAATGTCATAGGAATCCATGTAACGTTCCCGCCGCTCCTCCACCTGCCCAGGGAAGCGGATCTGAGTCCCCCAAATGTCCCTCTTTGCATCTTTTACTCTCAGAGTAGGGTAGAGACATGAAAACACCATTCCCCAGCTCTCCTGTGAAAGCCTGGGGAGTTCAAGGACATAGGGTCACAGGCAAGCAAATGAAGGCATGAGTTGGCACCCTGAACAGCTGGCCAGTGTCAAACAGATAGAAACAAGGACAACAGACAAATGCCCGGGTGTCACATGTAATCTCCACATAGCTCTGGCATCCACTGGGCTCCAGCCTCTGCTGGCTGGGCTCACCCTTACAGACGCCTTTCTCTGAGCCCTTCTGTCCTGCGTCCTACCCATCCCTGCCAGTCTTTGCTGCTTTTGTTTCCTTTTATAAAATCATGCTCTCAACTCTGGCATTTCCCATTTCATTCAAGCCAGGGTTTTGAAACCTTGCTTCAAAAACCAATCAATCAATCAGTCAGTCAGTCAGTCAATCAATCAATCAAAATACCTGCCTCCAAGAAAACCCAAGGAGTCATTCCAGAAAGTGCGAGTTAGATGGGTTAGCAGTATTTGTGTGACTAGAATGGGAACTGACACGTGCGTGGTAAACACACAGCCCTGCATGTATGGACTGGACTGACCCTCTTCTCTCAAGTCTTGGGTCAAGCCATAGTGGAAAGTGCTGAGGCATTGGGATGTAACTCGATAATAGAACACTTACCTGGCATCTATCAGGTTCTACGTTCCTTTTCCCACACACACCCACACCAAAAGAGAAAGCATAAATCATGGTATGATGGCATATTCATGTAATCCCAGCATTTAGGAGGTTGAGGCAAGATGGTCAGAAGTTCAAGGTCAGCCTTAGCTACACAGTTTGAGACTAGCTTGAGATAATGAATTCCTGTGTCATGCCCCTACTCCACCCCCACCCACCGACCCACCGAGAGAGAGAAAGAGAGAGCACACACAACTGTGCCCCTCCTCTGTAGCCCTAATACTGTCCACAATATCTAGCACACAAAAGGAGTGAAAAGGAATCCATGCAGAAGCCAGAGGGGAAGGCCCAGGCAAGACACTACCTACCTTGTCATTTAGGAAGCCAATCTTGAGAATGTTCTGCACCCCAGGAACTCCATCAGCCATAGTGAGGTCCCCCATGGAGTCTCCAAGCAGGAGGATGTTGGTTTTGCCCTGAAGTTGCTGGAAGTAACCGGAGTTCTCACACACGGAGCTGTTCTTGTTGTAGGTGTGGATGAGCTGGCCCTTGAAGCCTTGCAGGAAACCCTACAACATCACAAGAGACAGAGAGCTAGGGGGACCCAAGTAGCACATGGGTCTGTCATTGGGGGGGGGGTGTTTCCTAAACCCAGAGATAATGGCAAAACTTTACTGTCACCTAAACGAGGGGCTGGAAAACTAGGCTCCAGGGGCTGGATTTGGTCTATTTTTATAAACGTTTTCACGGAACCCAGCCAGGCTCGTTTGTTTGTGTCTTGCTTTTGGTTGCGTTCTGGGAGGTGATTGCCAAGTTGAGAGGAGGTGCAGCAAGAGCTCTGCTCACAGAAGCCCGGGCGTGCATGCCTGGCCTCTAGCCAAGGCACTGGGATGGAGCCTGGGGCCTTCACATACAAGCACTCCATCACTGAGCTACATCTCCAATTCTTTTTCCTTTTTTTCTTTTGAGACAGGGTCTCTCTATGGAGCTTTAGCTGGCTTTGACCTCTGTCTGCCTCTGCCTCCTGAGTGTGAGGATTAAAGGCATACACCACCACCGTGCCTGTTTTATTTCTTTCCTTTGTTTTTTTTGTTTTTGAGACAGGATCTCACTACACATAGCCCTGGCTGTCCTGGAACTCACTATGTAGTCCAGGCTGACCTCAAATTCCAAGGTTCCCCTGTCTCTGCTCCAGAGTGCTGGGATTAAAGTGCACTACCACTTACTTCATTGTAAGACACATCTCTTTCTTCCTTCCTCCCTCCCTCCCTCCCTCCCTCCCTCCCTCTCTCTTTCTTTCTGTTTTTTTGAGACAGGGTTTCGTTGGGGCTTTGGAGGCTGTCCTGGAACTAGCTCTTGTAGACCAGGCTAGTATGGAGCTCACAGAGATCCGCCTGCCTCTGCTTCCGGAGCGCTGGGATTAAAGGCGTGTGCCACCACGCGACTGGCTAAGACACATCTTTTTCCAGGCTTTCTAGGCTCTCCTTGAATTTGTTCTGCAGCTCAGGCCAGGCAGGTCTTGAGCTTTCAATGTTTCCCCCTGAAGTTCCCTAAGCAGCTGGGATCACAGGTCTGTGCCTCCAGGCCCAAATCACTTAGCCTTTTATAGGACAACTGTGTAATTCCTGCCTTAAACAATGACCCTTAGGTATTCCTGATCTCCATTCTGGTGGATACCTGTAAATACAAAAGTTGCTCAGTCAGGCTGAGGGAACATTTAGAGGTAAGAACATCTGCTTACAGGGCAAGGTCAGTTTCTCACCTAAAAAAATGTTCTCCGGGTTACATGTGTGCTAGCACTTGGCTGTAGGTCATTAAGAGTGACAAAATTCCACCAATGATTTTTGTTTGAGACTGGGTCTCCTGTAGCTCAGTGAATCTGAACTCACTATGTAGTCAAGGCTGCTTCCTCCACCTTGCAAGTGCTGGGAGTAAAGGCATGTGTCGTCATGGCTACCCACTGAGAAGAAGTGAAACCCTGAGTGAACTGGAGCTACTCACCTCCGGCTTTCAATACGCAAAGCCAGTATAAGCCTTTTGGTCCTCACGGTGACACACAACCTAAGATGGTGTCACAGGGCCATGGTGACAGACAGCTGACTGCTGATCCTTTTAAAGTAACACGGGATGGGTGTGGTGGTGGATGGTTTAGCCCCAGCACTCGAGAGGCAGAGGCAGGTAGTTTTCTGTGAGTTTGAGGCTAGCCTGGTTTATACAGTTATTTCTAGGACTGCCAAGGCTTTAGAGAAAGACCCTGTCTCAAAAAACAAAAAGTAACCCAGAAGTCAAGTGCCATGATTCACACCTATAGTTCCAGCCATTCAGGAGGCAAGGCCAGAGGACTGACTGAGCTCAGGAACTCCAGGCCAGTCTCAGAGATGCAGCCAGACTCCCGTCTCAATGAAAGAAAGGAGAGAGCAGACTAAAAATGCCACCAGAGGGCAGAGGCCAGCTGGCCAATCGAAAAGGCACCCGGGCCGCAGCCCACCCTCCTCTCTTGCAGCCCAGACGAGGCGTGGCTCACATCCTCACTGAAGTCCATGTAGTTAGACACAATGTGGATGTTGGGGTGGAACACTTTCATCTGTCGGATAATCTCTTCCAGGATATCGCCAATGCCCGCCGAAAAGATGAAAAGAGGAATGTTGTTATGGTAGAGTGTGTCGAAGAACGTCTTATATCCCTCCCTGCAAGAGGTCAGAGAACTGTGAATGGCGTGGCCTTGCTACCGCTACTTCATTTTCTACTCAGTCTAGGTATTTTACATCTTATTATGTGTGTGTGTGTGTCTGTGTGTGTGTACGCTCAGGAGGCAGAGGCAGGTGGATCTCTGTGAGTTCCAGGCCAGCCTGGTCTACAGAGCGAGTGCCAGGATAGACTCCAAAGCTACACAGAGAAAACCACCCCTCCAAAAAAAAAAAAAAAACTTCGGGGACTGGAGAGACAGCTCAGCAACTTTAGGAGTACTTGCTGCTCTACCAGAGGACCTGGATTCAGCAACCACATGGTGGCTCACAACCATGCATGACTACTGTTCCAGGGGTTCTGGCCTCCTCAGGCACCAGGCACACATGGTACACATACATAGGTACATGCAAAAACAATTATATACACAAAATAAAACAAATAATAAATAAAAAATAAACTAATGTAAAAACATTTTAAGGTTTGTGCTTTTAAGTGGAGCTCATGGTAACTTGTTTAAGACCTTGAGTTCAATACCAAGACAAAAAAAAACAAAAACAAAAAAACAAAAACATATAAACCTCATGTGATGGTATATGGCTATAATTCCAGCACTTAGGCAAAGGCAGGTGGATCTGAGTTCAAGGCTATCCTGGTCTATAGAGTGAGCTCCAGACAGCCAGAGAAACACTGTCTCAGAAAACCAAAATGAAATAAAAAAATAAAAAGCAGGGCAGTGGTGGCACACACCTTTAATCCCCGCACTCTGGAGGCAGAGGCAGGTGGATCTTGGTGAGTTCCGAGGACAGTGTCAGAACAGGCTCCAAAACTACAGAGAAACCCTGTCACAAAACAAAACAAAACAAACAAAAAAAGAATGCCAGTCAACTAGAGGGACCCCAGAGCTGTGGCGTTTTGTGTTTGTTTTTAAACCACTGTTAGGAGATGAAGGCCTGGCCATTTGCACGGCAGCCCACTAAAGCAAATGGCTTTGGGGCCACCCTTCCTTCTCCCAGCCACTGACTCCACTTAACCCTCTCCAGCCTCCTCTGCCTGGGTGAAACCGTTTTAGACTGGCTTTCATTTTTATTTTTGCTTTTCCATGCCAAGGATGGAATTCACAGGCCTCCAACAGGCCAGGCAAGTATTTAACCAGGGAGCCACACCCCACCCAACCCACTAGCTGCTCACACTAGCTTTGCAGAGTTTTACACCAAGGAGCTTACCTGAGCATCGCAGTGGACTCTCCAACCACCTGCGCTATCTGGAATTTCTGTATCCTCTGCTGGCACAGGAGATTGTGGGCTTTGGACCACCTAGGAACAGATACCCCAAGCCCCAGTCACCCCAGGAAATTGAGTGCCCTGTCCCTCGTCCCCTCTGGTAGCACTCACTGGGGGAATGAGCACAGTCTGTCCCACAGAGGCATCTCCCGAAGGACTTTAAGTGATCCTTAGAAGGAGAGGGAGACCAGAACTGAGCAGTGGACTGGGGAGATCAAAACTCCTCCTAACCCCTCCCCCATAGGGACCTACGGCTCTGTCCAGGAATGCCAGCTTTTGTTTTGTTTTGTTTTCTTTTCTTTTTTTTTTTTTTTTTTTTTTTGGTTTTTCGAGACAGGGTTTCTCTGTGGCTTTGGAGGCTGTCCTGGAACTCCCTTGGTAGTCCAGGCTGGTCTCGAACTCACAGAGATCCGCCTGCCTCTGCCTCCTGAGTGCTGGGATTAAAGGCCTGCACCACCAACGCCCAGTTCAGCTTTTGTTTTCTTTCTTTCTTTCTTTCTTTCTTTTTTTTTTTTTTTTTTTTTGGTTTTTTAAGACAGGGTTTCTCTGTGGCTTTGGAGGCTGTCCTGGAACTCACTTTGTAGACCAGGCTGGCCTCGAACTCACAGAGATCTGCCTGCCTCTGTCTCCCGAGTGTTGGGATTAAAGGCGTGTGCCACCAACGCACGGCTTCAGCTTTTGTTTTCTAACGGGGTCTTGTGTGGCACTGGCTACAACTTCCTATGCAGTCAAGAACAACCTTGGTCCTCCTGCCCCCAACTTCCAAGGAGGATGCTAGTATGATGTACATGCACCACTATGGCCACGCTTAGTGGTGTTTGTTTCTATCAGAATTTTGTGTTTGATTGTGTCCCCAGGTTACAAACTGGAACTCTGTGGTGGTCTGAATGAGAATAACCCCTGCAGGCTCAAATATCTGAATGTTCTCCAAAGTTGGTGGGACTGTTTGGGAAGGATTAGGAGGTGTGGCCCTGTTGGAGGTGTGTCACTAGGGGTAGACGTTGAAGTTTCAAAAGCCCATGCCTGCTTTCCTGCTGCCATGATCCCTGACATGATGGTCATGGACTCACCCTCTGAACTGTAAGCCTTCCCCAAACACTCTTTCTTCTATACGTTGCCTTGGTCATGCTACCTTAGCACAGCAATAAAAAAGTAACTACAACAATCCCCAGTAGAGGTGTTGGGTCAAGGGGCTTTGCCCTCAAGAATGTATAATGTAATTAGGTTATAAAAGGGTAAGTTCAGCCTCTCTTACTCTCTTTTCTTTCTTTCCTGTCATTCTTGCTCTCTTTTAGCTCTTCTGCTATGGAGTGACGAAGCAACAAAGGTGCTAGCAGATGCTAGACCCTTCATCTGGAACTTCCCAGCCTCCTGAACTGTGAGCCAATAAACTCTGTCCATTATGCGTTATCCAGACTGTGATATTCTGTTACACCAGAACAAAACACACTGAATGAAGGCCACTTGCTGCTTATCTCCCAAGCCAAGGCATTTCTAACTTACTCCAAGAAGTCCCTGAGGTTTTCCACTCTAGCAGCGGCAGAGAACCAGGGTGTAGGTGGATGTTGGTTCTTAGAGCCGGGCCAGGGTCATGGCCCTCAGGAAGGAAGCTCACTGAAGCTCTGCAAGGACAGTCATGCTGGCCCACTCCGTCTCCAATCCCAGGAGTACTTACCACTGTACCATATGAGGCAACTTCTCTTTGATGGTGCGGTGCGGGTCGATCTCAATGGGATAATAGTGGTGGAAGAGCGCCGTGAGCTGGGACAGCGACAAGGAGGAAGGTCATTAGTGCCCATCACATTGGCCCCCGGTTAAGACGCAAACCCCCTCAAGGATGGAGCTCCGTGTAAGACAGCCTTCTTCAAGTCTTCATGTGGAACACACCATTTATGAAACTCAAGTTTCTCCTCCTGCTTTTCAACAGCTCACAATCACCTAATATATACAGTTTGCAGTGTTCATCACCTACCGGCACCCACCCCGAGAATGAGGCCTAAGAGTCCTCAACGTGAGCTAGACTTGTGGCTCATGCCTATAATCCCTGCACTTGGAAGGAACAGACAGGAGGATTATAGATGGGTAGTCTAGGCTACATACACAAGCCTAAATAGTAAAACTATGTCTCGAAATTCAAAATATAAACATACACAGATAGGGAGGGGGTGGGGGTAGGGGTAGGGGCAAGGAACGGGAGCAGGGATGCAGCCTGTTGGCAGAGAGCTTGCCTAGAGGGCCATCCTCAGCATTACAAAAATCAATGGCTGACGAGTTAGCTCAACAGTTAAGAACTTGTTGCTCAGCCAGGCATTGATGGCGCACACCTTTAATCCCAGCACTCGGGAGGCAGAGGCAGGCGGATCTCTGTGAGTTCGAGGACAGCCTGGTCTACAGAGCGAGTTCCAGGACAGCCTCCAAAGCAACACAGGAGAAACCCTGTCTCGAAAAAGCAAAAAAAAAAAAAAAAAAAAAAAAAAGAACTTGTTGCTCTTGCAGAGGACCAGGGTTCAATCCCCAGCATCTACATAGTGGCTCACAAGTATTTATAACTCTATTCCTAGAGGATCTGACACCCTCTTCTGACCTCAGTGGGTACCAAGCACTCATGTGGTATACAGACATAGAGCATACATGCAGGCAAAACACCTATACACATAAAAGAACAGTAATAAAAACTAGTCAGTGAGAGCCTGGCATGGTGGCTCACATCTTTAATCTCAGCAGTTGGAAGGCAGAGGTAGACTCTGTGTGAGTTCAAGGCTAGCCTGGTCTACAAAGCAAGTTTCAGGACAGCAAGAGCTGTTACACAGAGAAATCCTGTCTTGAAAAACCAAAAACAACAAGACACTAGTCAATGAGGCAGACACATAAGTAACAAATGTCAAGTAACAACTGGAGATGTCCCTCATTGGGCTGAAGGCTTGCCTAGCATGCATGTGGACCTGGATTTCATCCCCAAGAACACATAAACACATGGAGGGTGTGATGGCACATGCCTACAGTCCTAGGGAAATGGGAGGCAGGAGGATTAGAAGTTTAGAGTCATCTTTAGTCACATAGCAACTTTGAGAACCCAGATCAAAGAACCAAAACATGGGCAGGGAGATGGCACATGGGAGGCAGGCGGATCTCTGTGAGTCTACAGATGGAGTTCCACAACAGCCAAGGCTGCACACACACACACACACACACACACACACACACACACACACACAGAGAGAGAGACAGAGACAGAGACAGAGAGACAGAGACAGACAGAGAGAGACAGACCCTGATTTAAAAAACAAGAGAGAGAGAGAGAGAGAGAGAGTAATCTACAAGAACGAACTCAGCAATGTATAATAGCCTAGCCTGGCTCTGTTCCAGCAAGTGGCACTCAGACCAGAAGCCTGGAGTCAAGTAAACCAAAGGCCAAAGCTCTAGAGTTGGCTTCTCAGTATTTGTATGCATCGGAAAGAAATGAATGAACATTTATTCAGAACACTCCCCATGTCTGTTCCCTTACCAGAAAGTAACATCATCAAGGGCATGGCACAACACAGTGGGAAGAGTGTGGGACAAAGTGTACAAAACCAAGACACGCGACTCAATTGAACGACCTTGGACAAGATGTTCAGCTTCTTCTTCTCTCTCTTTTTTTTTTTTTGTTTTTCAGTAGCTTTGGAGCCTGTCCTGGAACTTGCTCTGTAGACCAGGCTGGTCTCAAACTCACAGAGATCCACCTGCCTCTGCCTCCCGAGTGCTGGAGAAAAGGCGAGCGCCACCAACGCCCGGCTGCTGCTCAACCTCTTTCAGCGCCTGTTTTCTCACACGTTAAACAGAGACAGTAATATGATGTTCCATCTACCTTTGGGAGCAGAGGGTCGTTCAATAAGCTGTGTTCATCATGAACCACCATCAGTATCTCAATCAATAGGGAAAAGCTGCTCTCATGTATTAAGACTAGACTCGAGGGCTGGACAGATGGTTCAGCAGTTAAGAACACAGCACATAATGCACATACTGCTCTTCCAGAGGATGGGAGTTCAGCTCTCAGTTTCCACTTCAGGCAATTCACGACTGCCTGAAACTTCAGTTCCAGGGGATCCGCTAAGGACACCTGCATGCACACGTCTCTGTCTCTCTCTCTTTCTCTCTCAGGCATGCTTGGTGAGCTGTCTTTGAGCTATATCCCAGATTCCCTCTTTTTGAGACAAGGTCTCACTATGTAGCCTTGGCTGATCTAGGACTTGCCATATAGACCAGGCTGGCATCGAACTCATAGTGATAGGCCTGCCTCTTTCCCCTGAATGTTGCTCAGCTGCCTCTTTTTTCTTTTCTCTCTTTTTTTTGGGGGGGGGTTGTTGAGACAGGGTTTCTGTTAGCCCTGGATGGCCTGGTACTGGCTCACTTTGTAGATCAGGCTGTCCTTGAACTCAAGAGATTGGCCTATCTATGCCTCTCGAGTGCTGGGATTAAAGGCGTGCGCCACCAAAGCCTGGCTTCCATTCAGCCCTGCTGCATTTTTCAAGCTTTTTATGTTGAGGCAGAGTCTCACTAAATTGCCCAAGGTGACCTTGACCTCTTTCTGGAGCCCATGCAGACCGTGAACTTGTGATTCTCCCGCTTCGATCTCCCAGATAATGGGGATTATAGGCCTCCACACTGGTTTAAAGAATGAACTTTCTTAAGATTTCTGTCCCGGAGTCTGTAGTGCAACCCCAGAAGCCTAGCCATTTTTGAGCAAAGAAGGGGGTGACCCACCTCTTTGCGACAATCCTCACTGATGATTTTGCTGTTATCCAGAATATCTGAAAAAACACAAAACTCCCTTTACTTGCTCCTTAGCAACTGCCATCCTGAGCCCTGCAAGGAAGTCTGAAACGTGACTTACTGTAGGAAGAGGGGCAGCGCTGTCCATTGTAAGCAAATCTGCTCAAGGTCATGTCAAAATCAGAGATCACCTAGGAGACCAAAGAGCGAGAATGGTGGCTGAGTAGGCACCTTCTAACCTGGCCTCACCTCAGCCTGGGATAACCACAAGTCTAACCAGCCACTGCCCAGTCAGCAGCAAAGGCTAGAAAGAGACGGGGGGGGGGGTTCCTGTGTCAGTACACGCGTTAACATTGAGGAAAACAAATCCCCCCGAGTGCACGCGTGTCTCTCAGTGGCATCTTTCTCAAACGCATCGGTTCTTTCTTAAGGTGCCTCCCGACCTTTCTGACTCTCCCTGTCTTCAACTTCTGGTGGAGCCAGCTAGCTTGGGATAGCGGGGCAGCCAGGCTCCACCCACTTGCTTCCTGAAACCAAGCGGCACCACGACATCGGACTACTTTGAAAAGTTGGCTGCGGGGACAGGTAGGCTCTCTCCCGAGGCGAGCCAATCTGTTTGTCCATGCCCACTCTGGGCAGGCTCGCAGCGTGCGCACCGGCTCTGGCGGGAAGGCCGCAGGACAGGCACCCTTCCGCCGCCCCGCCCGACCGTGCCCCGCGCCCCGGTACCTGCAGGCGATCTCCTCCGCCCCTGCGAAGGGCGCCCACGATTTCCTGCACCCGCCCGGGCTGCCGCATCAGGACCGTGGCCTTCATCAGACTGTTCACCTGTCGCGAGACCCGAGAGACTCGCTGACCCGAGCGCCCCGATGGGCACCAGGGCGGCTGGGCCTCCCCGCGCCCGCGATCCCGCCACGCGGGACGCTCCCGACCCCGCGGCCTCACCTCCTCCGCCATCGCGCCGACCGCCTGGTGGGTGGTTCCGAAGACAGCGCCCGCCCCGCAGCCTCACTGCGCAGGCGTCGTCTCGCTAAAGTAGCGCTGGGTTGGGGGCAGTGGGCCGGCCGTTTGCAGGCTGGCTCAAGATGCTGGCAGGAGAAACGGGTGGGGGGGGTTCGACTGTGTGTGGGGTTCTACTGTGTGTGGGGGTGGGGTGGGGGAGGACCAAGACTCTGGGGTCCTGTGTACGGACTGTCATGAGGCTTTGCTGTGTATGGGCTCCTGTCACTCTTTCTGGAACCCTTTGGCAAGAACGGTCTTTCCCAGGATTCCAGTCACAGCTCAGTGGAGCAGTGCTTGCCTGCATGTATTAGACTCTGTGTTCATCCCCAGCATTGCAAACAACAACAAAAACATAAGCAAAAATCCACCAGGTATCTGTATGCAATTTGGACTGGGGATGCACCCTGCAGACACCTTTCTAACTGGACCCCTCATCATCACTAAGCAAATTAAGACATCTCAGAGTCAGAAGACCTTGGCCAGCCTGACGTTTAACCAGCTTTGCTTCTGGCTCTGCACACATGAGGGTTGAGCTGCAGAAGCATGCTGCAGGGATGTGGAGTCAACCTGAAATTGCAACAGGAAGTAGACTCAACTAAAGGCTCAACTGTGTTGGTGGCCACAGTTCTGCCCTAGGTCTAGGGGCAAGGAAGGAGGTGTGGGGTGGTCTATCTGTATGTCCTGGGGGGAGGGGGAGGAAAAGAAGGGGTAGGAGGGGTTCCAGAACCTGAGAGCACAATCCTGAGTGATCTCACTGTCCAGGATTCTGGAACTTGGGCTGCCTGATGGTCCCTATATGAAAGATGTAGTAGGGAAAAGGAGCGACAGCTGGCTAAAGGGGCCCCCCAGAACCCTCCCCAACACCCCAGGAGAGCAGCCTCTCTCCCCTGGTCCCAAGGTGCCATGGAGATGGAGAACACGGCGGCCTCCACCCGGTTCCACCAGCCTCACATGGAGAGGAAGATGAGTGCGATGACCTGTGAGATCTTCAACGAGCTCCGACTTGAGGGCAAGCTCTGCGACGTGGTCATCAAAGTCAATGGCTTCGAGTTCAATGCCCACAAGAACATCCTCTGTAGCTGCAGCTCCTACTTTAGGTACAGCTAAAGGGGCCGAGCTGAGCCCAAGGGGAGGCGGGGCTCCTCCTGGGACTCTTTCATCTATGATGATTTCCCATTTACCATGTTAAACTTAGGGACACTGACGCTCTGGGCTCCTTGTGGCCTGGCTGTGACTGAGCCAGAGCCCCTCTCTGTTTCCTCGTGTGTTTTAAACTGGTCCTCGGTCAACATTTGATAGGCCAGGGGCTTTCTCTTGGATTCTCACCCCAACCAACTTCTAGTTGGACACCCGTGAATTTTGCACGTAACCTAGATGATATCCCTGCTTCTGGTGACCCTCTTGGCCTAGTCCCAGTAGAGATCACTGAAAGCAGGGAGGGGAATTAGTAAGGCTAGAGAGGATGGGGTGGGGATAAGGGACAAGTACCCAGGAAATATTTTCAAAAGAAAGGGAGTTTGGGCTGAAATTCTTAACTTAGGAAGTGCATGGGTTCTTTTGTTTATAAGCTGAAAAAGTCAGAGTACTTGGTCCTAATGAAAACATGAAACATATGTTCGTATGCTTGCCTCTTGATAAAAGCTCCTATTCAAGCCCAGCTCAGTGGTGCAGGTCTATAATCCCACTTACTTACTCAGAGGCTGAGGCAAGAGGACCACGAGTTCAAGGCCCTGGGTGCTGGGGATATAGTTCAATAGTAGAAGGCTTGAGCAGCATGCACCAGGCCCTGGATTCAAGCACCAGTATCAAAGGGACCACAACCACCAATAACGACAATAGACAGTTCAAAGCCTGCCCAGAAAACTGAGTGAGGGTCTGTCTCAAAACAGCAATGACAGCAAAAGGGCTGAGGGAAACGTGCAATGAATGAGAGCTAGGCATTGTGCTACACATCTGCAATGTCGGCTCTCAGGAGGCCGAGGCACCAAAATGAGTTCAAGGTCAACCTGGTTGTGTAAACTCTAGGTTAGCCTGAGCTACATACAAGATTCTGTCTCAGTTACAACTGTCTCAGTTGCCTGATTAACAAAACCCCAATCCTTAACACCCCCACCCCAAAAAAACTCTATTCAGTTGAGGGGCCGCTCTGTGGTCCGCAGGTCTCATTCTGCCAAGTTGAAAACCTTAAAACTTGGAAACTTGGAAAAAAAAGACTTAGCAGGGTGGTGGTGGTGCATACCTTTGATCCCAGCATTGCAGAGGCAGAGACAGGCAGATCTCTGTGAGTTGGAGGCCAGCCTGCTCTACAGAGCTAGCTCTAGGACAGCCAAGGCTACATAAAGAACCTAGCTTGATAAACCAAAACAAGCAAACAAAAAAGCAACAACCAAAAAGACTTTATGCATATATGCAAGCCTTGCATGCCTGTGGGAGGTTATATATAGATGCTGGAACTGCAGGTAGAGGCAATTGACATAGATGCTGGGAACTGAACTCAAGTCCTCCCCAAGAGCAGTGTGAGCACTTAACCAAGAACCATCTCTGCAGCCCTAGGACTTTGGGTTGGTTTGTCTGTAGCTGGTTTGAGCTATTCTCAAGCTTAAGTTTTGTAGGTGACAATGTAGCATTGCAATGTTGAAAGGGTGGACATGCATGATTCTCCACTCTAGAACAGAGGCTACAAAAAGACCATAAGCCAGGCATATTGGCTCATCATGCCTGTAATCCCAGCACTGGAGAGACTGGGGCAGGAGGATTAGTAGTTCAAAGCCAGCCTGGGTACAGAGTGAGAATCTGTCTTTAAAAACAAACAAAACCAAAACAACAAAAAATAAGATAGTAAATATCTTTTTTTAAAAAATGCATTTGTTCATTTATTTTATTTACAGATATTTTGCCTGTATGCATGAATGCCTGAAAAGACCATAAGATGGCATTGGATCCCATGGAGACTGGAGTTACAGACTTTTGTCAGCACCATGTAGGTGCTTGGACTTGAACCCCAGTTCTCTGGAAAAGAGAGTCATTTCTCCAGCCCCAAGACAGTAAAATACCTTAAGTTCCAAAGGCCATATACTCTCTTGCAACTGTCCAACCCTGCCTTTATGTCAAGAAGAGCCAAACAGGGCCAGGCATGTTGGTGTCCATCTTTAATCCTGGCACTTGGGAGGCAGAGGCAGGCAGATCTCTGTGAGTTCTAGGCCAGTCTGGTCTACACAGGGAGTTCCAGAGCTACATAGGTGAGACCTCACCTTAAAAAAAAATGAATAGCCACAGACAGGACTAATACAAATTATATGTGGACACTGAAATATGAATGCAGTCCTAAAGTGCCACAAAGTGTTCTTTTGACACTCTGCCCCCTCATCATTCAGAAATGTAAAGAAAAACCTTTTTATCTGGGGGCAGCGTAACATCAGGTAGTGGGCTGGATTTGAGCTGCATTTGGCAGAGGCTGTAGGTTGGCAAGCCGGGTCCTGAGGAAGAATTTGATGCCTAAGCCCACTGGTCCTTCAGCTTCTCAGAAAACAAAAATTCTGTTTTATTCAATATCCAGAAATGGACCTAGTCACACAGAGAAACTAACACATACCTGTGGTCATTTATAGCCTATTTTCTGATGTGGTATTCCGAGTATTAGAAAGAAAACAAAGTGACCATTCCTGTACTCATGAGACTACTTTTTCTTTTTTTGTGTGTGTGGGTTTTTCGTTTGTTTGTTTGTTTGCTTTTTTGAGACAGAGTTTCTATGTAGCCCTGGCTGTCCTGGAACTCACTATGTAGTCCAGGATGGCCTTAATTCAGAAATCTCCCTGTCTCTGCCTCTAGAATTCTGGGATTAAAGGTATGCAGCACGTTTAATAAACACATCTTTTAGCCGGGCGTTGGTGGCGCACGCCTTTAATCCCAGCACTCGGGAGGCAGAGGCAGGTGGATCTCTGTGAGTTTGAGGCCAGCCTGGTCTACAGAGCGAGTTCCAGGATAGCCTCCAAAGCTACAGAGAAACCCTGTCTCGAAAAACCAAAAAAAAAATCTTTTTTTTTTAAATCTTAAAAACATATATATAAGCCGGGTGGTGGTGTTGCATGCCTTTAATTCCAGCACTCGGGAGGCAGAGACAGGCAGATGGATCTCTGTGAGTTCGAGGCCAGCCTGGTCTACAAGAGCTAGTTCCAGGACAGCCTCCAAAGCCACAGAGAAACCCTGTCTCGAAAAACAAGCAAACAAACAAACAAACAAAAAACATATATGTAAAGGGATGTCAGGGGCCAGCAAGATAACTCACTAGTGAAGGTGCTTGCTGCTAAACATGAGAATCTAGGTTCAGTCCCTGGGATCCACACGGTGAAAAGAGAGCACCAACTCCACAAGTTGTTCCCTGACCTCTACACCATGCCACTAGCACAAACAAGCATATAAACAAGTTTAACTAAAAAAAGTTGTCAGAGAAGACTTTGCTGACAAGGGACTCGGACATGGAATGCAGAAGTCTTGGGGACCCTTCCAGGGAGAGGGAAGACAAGTAAGGAGGCAGAATCACTTCCAGTGCACAAAGAATAGCTAAGGAGCCCTCAGGACAGAGGATAGGGAAGCTGGGAGACACCCAGAGCTCAACTGCTTTTGTAGTTATTAGTAGAGACCTGGAATATCCCTCTTAACAAGTCAGGGGAAGGTTTTTTTTTCTTTTTTTTTAATTTATTTTTCAGTTTAAATTTAGATAAGAAACAAGGTTGCTTCACAAGTCAGTTCCAGGTCCCTCTCCCTTTCCCTCCCCTCCTCCCGTACCCTCCCCCCAACTCCCCCATTATCCCCTCATTTCCCCAGGGAGGGTGAGGCCCTCCATGGGGGTGTCCATAGTCTGTCATTTCATATAGGGCAGGGCCTAGACCCTTCCCCAAGAGTTCAGGGTGCAGGGGAAGGTTTTGAGTGCAAGGGTGACATAAGCTTTTTGTAAGGATCTCTCTGGGGCTGAACTGGGCTGTCCACATGGGAGATTTAGTGGGCAGTGGGTTAAGGCAGATTTAGATTTAATGTTGGATATAGGAATATTTTGTCTGCA